TACCTGAAAAGATGTAATTCTGTATTCGGGTTTTCAGAGAAGAGTTTGGTAATTTACTGTGTGCCAGCACGAGAGTTGCACGTTGAACCTTGAAAGCACGTTCAAAAATTGGATTGCTCGACTTTTATGTCTGCTTATATGTCGGGCATGATGGCCTATAACCGGGTTTCCAGGGTGGACCAGCTGCTTCCCTTTTAGGTGAGTGGATCCGGCATCTCCCTTCTTGAGAGCTTAGCGCAAGGCATTCTTCTGTGCACTCTGGCGGTATGCTCTTGGGCGGTAATGGTTGTTGGCTCTTCCTGACGCTCATACCATTCTCGGACATGCAGTCGTGATCACAGGATGGGGACCTAAGACGTATTTATCAGCCACTGTGGAGCAGATTGCAAGCGAGACTTTGCGGTCTGGCTCTTGAGGGTGCTCGAGAATGTGGGATTGCACTGCTTCTTCGATGACCGCTCCTTGAACCCTGGAGAAGATGCTGCGAAGGAGATGGAGAAGGCTATGGATACTGCTACATATGGCATTATCATCTTATCAGCGGGCTTTTTCGAGAGGGAGTGGTGTATGAAGGAGCTGCAGACCTTCGCAGGCCGGGGAAGGATCCTGCCGGTCTTCTTTGGAAGATTCGATGAAGTGCAGAGGGCGAGGGACGCAGCTATTACCGGGTGCAAGTGGCAGACCTTCAAGCTATTTGAGTGGACTGAGAAGGAGTATCGCCAGGCAGCAGAGGTCAGCACCCAGCACACCGGGCTGCAATTGGAAAAGCTGGATGGGTATTGGGACACTCTGATCTTCAAAGTCAGGGACGAGGTGCTAGGGCTGCTAGGCAAAGAGAATGGGGGCCTGCACATTTCTGAGGACTATTGTCTTTGTTGATATATATGGGGACCATTATTACCGTTTTCGCCCAAAATGTCGCCCGAACCGGGCGCTTCTCAGGCGGTAAAACGATAATAATACCGGAGTTCAACACCGGCTATCCACGAACCGCCGGGTTATGACGCCCGGTATCCGCAGATACTTCTCTAGGCGCCGTCCGGCTATACTCTGCCGGTCGGACGCCCCCTTCCAGTTGCACCTTCAGCAGCGCCAGGATGTTTCGGGCAGCGTTCACGTCTCGGTTCACCGTCATGCCATTACAGCCACTGTTACGGCAGTGGAGCACACTGTGAACTTTAACGGTCTTCACCGCCCCATCCTTGCACCGCTTCTCAGAGAACTGGTTGTGCAGTGCCATCTTGCAGTCAAAGTGCAGCTTGCTGGTCCTGAACTCGTCCACAGAGACCACTCGGCAATGCTTCCCGAGCTCTCGCTCAAGCCGCTTGACTGGCCCGGAGGGCGAGCCTCTGTTCACCCCTCCGGAATCCTTGTTGGACCAGTCTCCAAAGCCTACCACCGTCTTGGTCCCGACTCGCCTGGTGATCGACTTGCAGAGGGCGTGCAGCTTCTTCTGAGCAAAGATGTACCGCTTGAACTTGAGAGCTCTGAAGCCCTTCCTCATGTGGAAGCTCAGAAGCATTTCCAGCCGAGGAAGCATGAATTGCACGTAGTTGAGCAGCTTGGCACTCTCTGAAGTCTTCTTGGTAGGCATGTTACGGATCGCCTCAAGCACCTCTGGGCTCTGCTCATACCAACCCTTGACCCTGGCGTTGCTCAGCTTGTACTTGGCATCGTGGTAGAACTCCCTGGTCGAGCACTTTAGCTTCTCACCCTCATCGTTGACCATGACAAAGAGGTCCCTTCTGCCTGGGTCCAAGCCCCACAGCTCTTCTCCATCATCCTTGGCAGGAGGTCTTCTCGCAGCTTGCTTTGGCTTGGGCTTCCTCAGAAGGATGCAAACAGCCTTCCCATCCGTGAAGATCTCGCCCGCAAACTTCCTGCTGCTCGTCTCAAACTTCTCAATCTCAAAGAGCTGCCTCCAATAGTCATCCGCCAACTTCCGGAACTCGGCACCAAAAGCGGGCAGCCTAATGCCTCCTCGCTTCAGCAACCCGTAAAGGCCATTGGTGCACATCTTCAGGTTACTGCACTCAAAGCCCCTCTTGGTGGGAAGGAGGCTGAAGAGCCTCAGCTGCTTGCCCTTCTTGAGGGCCTCCTCCGTCAGAGGGTGGTGGGACTCTATGTAGCGCAAAAACATGTATTGCATGGGCATGAGCAGGTGAGGGGATGTATCTGCCCTGCCAACGATAGCCTTTGAAAGCATGGCGCGATATCTAACAATCAGCGGGACATCTCCATCGTAGGTGTCAGCCAGGATGTTCTTCATCTTCTGAGAACACGTTGAGCCATCCAGCGAGTACTTGTGCTTGAGATAGCGCTTGAAGCGCCTGTAGAAGTTCACAGAGACAGAGTTCTTGGTGCATGTACTCATCTGCAGGCTGGCATTCTGATACCATCCAGAAGCCAGATGCTCACCATCTGGCGGCTTGTAACCCTGGGGGCGTGAGGATAGATAGAGATCCACGGTCTCTCTAAAGAAGAGGTCTTTGATCGGACTCTTCTGTCTCCCAGCCACACTAACAGCAGACAAGCATCCATAGAAGAAGGACTGATCGAGAGGTGGCACTTCTCTCCCCAGCTCACACATGCGCAATACATGCAGGTTAGCAAGGATGTAAGCCTCGCAAATGGCCTTGTTCACCTCCTTGAGGACATTCTCCAGAGGGAGGGCCCTTGCAGCCTCTTTGCAGAAGCTGTTCAGGCTGGTCTTGACCACTGTACACTCGGTGTCCTTGTTCCTCTGAGCACGGAGCTTGACGTCCTCACGAGTGCGAGTGGGCTCCTTGAAGAGCTTGCTAGCGTAGGCCAAGCACTCATGCTCCAGGGCAATGTGGGGGGGCTTCTTAGAAGGCATGCCCGCTTGCCCCCGCTATACACTCTCCTTAGGAAAATTTCACGAGATCTGAACGCACCAAGGTCTGGTGACACCAGCTCCTAGGGGCAACGTCCTGTGGGGCTGGGCACCTTCCATTGCTGGGGCTTTAGCAGCCTGCCCTGGGCAGATGTGCTTTCTGCGATCTCATATATTATACATCGGTTGCAATATATGAACTTCTCGATACGAATTTGTTAACCAGCCGGGCGGTTTGGTGTGACACTTTCGACGAAAACGGTAATAAACTTTACGCAAAATTGACCATTTACAATGCAAGGCTTAGAAATATTCTGCTGCATTATTCAAGCATGGACAAGCCCATAAAGCTGCGGACCAACAAGCTTATAGCTGCAGCTGGCTCTGCATCTGGGGCCATCGTCTGGGCGCGCCCTGCAGACCGCAGCAGGCCGAATGGAAACTGGGTTGCCAGCAAGTACTATGCTTCCACTGTTGACCCAGATAAAATCAAACCCTCAGATGCCAGCGATGCCACTACTGAGCTACTGCTCTACCGGTACACCAACCACTTCCTGGAGGATGGTGCAACGCCTCATGTTTGCCAGATGTTCGAGCATCTCCGTCACCCCAATGCAAAGGCCAACTTAGCCAATCCCAACGTGATCAACGTCATTAAAAGAAAGAGTAGACAGGCTGCTGCGGCTGTACAGTCTGGCAAAGAGTACATGATCCTGCCAACCTTTTTCAAGCCTGGGGCAATCAGCCTGGTGGACGCCCTGTTCCCAAGCGATGGCAGCCCTGCATTGTTGAGCGAGAGGCAGCTTGCCATGGTCATCTTCCAGGTCCTTTACACGATTGAGTGCATGGTAAGAACCGGCATCATGCATCTGGACCTTCACCTGGGCAACGTCATGCTGTATCCAGAGCCGGCCGACGATACCAAGGTGCGGGCTTACGAGTATGTGAGCTGGGACCTTCGCAGGTACGTCTTTTACGTGCCGTACTACGGATGGCTTCCAAAGATATTTGACTTTGACCATGGCGTGAAACACGCATTCCCAAACAACACGGCGATGCACCTCGGCCGTTTGAAGCCACACTATGCGGGCAGTGTCGCGAACCGCTTTCTTATGGATGTCGGGCTCTCTTACATATTTGAACCCTTTTGCAGGGAGCTGGACGCTCACGTCGATGCACACAAGTTCCTTCTCCACCTCCTAACGACATCAGGTATCCCAAGACAGACAAGGAGGGGAACGTTTGTCGTCCATGATGCCTATGAGTGGGGCCGCTCACCCGCTGGCTTCTCTCCAGTGAGAAAGTGGGTACAGATCTCGCAGCTATTGAAAAGGTGGACAAGCTTTGATTCTTTCAATGCCTGCTCCGAACGGACGTTCAACCTCGCAAGTGCTCTTCCGCAGCAGGTCGCAGCAGCCCTCCAGAGAGACCCAAGGCGTTCCCAGACGTTTGATGCTCAGATCCACACGACATACTCCTCATGCTTCCACTACAACTACCCCATCTCGTTGTCCAACGAGGTCGACCCGTCAGCGTTGAGGTCAAAGTGTGTGTTTCCAAGATCCAGCAAGATCGACCTTTCCCGGGCAGGCGCAGGGAGTGCAAATGACGTTCTCCAAGAGTATGCAAAGTACAACATCGTCGATATGGTCGATCTTGCAGGGCGCACCGTAGTAGAGGCGTACAGCATACAGAGGCTCTTTGAGGCCCCCGCGAGCCCACTCCCTGGCTCCGGCAAGGTCTGCCCTCAGCCGAAACTTGCGGGCCCCCCGCTGCAGATGAACATCAGAAACGCTCAGGTGCGGTCCAACAACAACGGGGTGACGGATATGGACGTGGATGAACCAAACCCGGTAGTTCCGCAGCTTAACCTGGACGCAGGGGAGAGGAACGAAGCCATCCCTATGTCTATCGTGTAGTCAGGCGCTTTGCATCGGTTGGATCATCCAAATCTTTTCGAATGCCAAAGCAGACTGATCCTATGGCAGTAGGGGACTTTAACATCAAGAAGTTTGACCTGACCAAGATCAAGGACCATAAGTCAATCGTTGTCGTGGGTCGCAGAGGTACAGGGAAGACGACACTGATCACCGATATCCTGTATCGCAAGCGCGAAATACCGGCAGGGCTCGTGATGTCGGGGACGGAAGACGGGAACAGCTACTACCGTCAGTTCATTCCGGACACTTTTATCTATGGAGCATATGACGAAGACGTCGTACAGAAGCTCATTGCCCGCCAGAAGAACCTGAAGCGCTTGAATGCAAAGCACTCGGAGTGCTTCCTTCTCCTCGACGATTGCCTCTTCAACCCCAAGATACTAAAGGGTGATACGATGCGCTTCCTGTTCATGAATGGGAGGCACTTCAACATCACACTCATCCTTGCGGCACAATGGGTGATGGACATCCCAGCTGCAATCCGTGCCAACAGCGACTACGTGTTTGTTTTCAATGACCCGATAGTGAACAACCGCAAGCGCTTCTACGAGCACTACTTTGGGGTCTTCAGGTCGTTTCAGCAGTTTGAGGCTGTCTACAAGGCATGCACTTCAGACTTTGAGTGCATGGTTCTGGACAACACTCTGCAATCTTCCAACCCGGAAGACTGCATCTTCTGGTACAAAGCACAGATCCACAAGCCTTTCAAGCTCGGTGCGCCCGAATACTGGTCATTCCATAAAAAGTGCTACGGCCAGGAGGAAGACAAGTCCTCTATCACAGAGGTGAACGGAGTGAGAATCCGAAAGTCCAAGTGATCAAGTGATCGAGCGATCAGGTGATCAAGGAATCAAGTGATCAAGTAATCAAGTGATGAAGTGATCAACTTATCAAGATGTCAACTCACCGATGTCGGGCAAGTACATTGTCTGCTTGTTGCTGAACACGGGCAGCGTCCCGTGATTCGTGATGCGGATCAAGGCCTGCCTAGCAGCCTCTTGCTCGGCCGCTTTCTTCTTCAGATCGGATCCCGTACCCATGAAGGAACCTCCGATGCTTACATTCACATGAAAGACCCGCATGTGATCCGGCCCACAGGCAGCAATCACCTGATACTGTGGCATAAAGTCTGATTGGGCTCGGCTGATACCATCTGAAGCTACCGCATTGCTCCAAACCGCTTGCATGTGCCGCATGAGAACGTCCTTGAAGTTGCAATCCTTCTCAACCTCCTCAAAGTCCTTTTGATCGAGCATAGGGTAGACAAAGTCCCTGCACGCTGCAATACCTTGGTCGACAAACAGGGCTCCCAGGAACGCCTCGAACGTGTCCTCGAGCTTGCTCGGGTTCAGGTACCATTCTTGGTCCATGGCCTTTCGGTTCATCATGATGTGGTTCTGGAGACCCAGCTGCAATGCCCACGCGGACAGGGCGGCTCCGCAGACCAGTTTGGTGCGTATTCGGGTGATAAAGCCCTCGTCGCACAGAGGGTACCGGTCGTAGATGTACTTTGTCACCACCAGGCTAAGCACAGAGTCACCCATGAGTTCAAGCCGTTCGTTTGAACCATGAGTGGCTTTGTATTCCTTTAAGGTGCTCTTGTGAGTGAAAGCCGTTATGTACTCGTCCAGATCGGAGATGCGCAGTGGGGGTGCCTCGGGGCTCCGGAACTTGTTGAGGATCGCCTCGACGTTTGCCCGGTTGATTCCCCGCTCTGCTGCCAGCTCGCGGATGTCCCGTTTTGGCCTCGCTCGTCATCCTGTACTCTTACCAAGTAAAAAAAGGTTTGTGCCAGACGAGAAGGTTCTTGCTTACATGACCCGCACCAGATGCTGCAGAGTGTCAAAGGTGGGTTTCGGGCGACGGCTGGCGGAGTAGGTGCCATTGCACGCAAATGTCCCTCCTTCGCCTCGCATGCAGTCAAACAGCCTTGCGTCGATTGCCTTTACGTACTGTCTCGGGGGTCCGTTCTCGCTCCGTGCATCCTTTGGTGCCAGGTTGACACTGAGCCCCGTGCCTGTGGGGATGCTGCTGTTCACTGGGTTCTGAGCCGGAGGCGCCCTGATCGCTTGACCTTGAGTGGTAGTGCCTGCAGGAATGACCGGGGCACCAGGCTTTTTCGATTGGACTGGCAAAAACTGTGCAGGGGGTTGACTTGGAGGTTTCGGGGCCTGATGTACAGATGCTTCTCTGACAGCTTGGCGAGGTGCAGGGGCTTGTGGGACGGGTTGCGGCGGTGTGGACTGTGCAGGTTTCGGAGGCGTGAGAGCGGCAATAGGCCGCTGCGCTGCTGCGGGAATCCGAGGCACAGGAACAGTTCTTGGCGGCGGGGCCGGCTTCGGGCCTGAAGGAGGGGGCTTGGCAGCTGCGCCTCGTGCTGGAGGCTGGAACGTTGCAGGCTTTGGGGGCGATCTTTGGGCCTGAGGGAGCTTCGACAATGGAGCGGGCTTCGGGGCGGCTTTTTGAGCCGGTGGGGAAGGCTTTAAAACGGCTTTCGGGGTTGAAGGAGAAGGCATGACTTTGGGGAGCAGCTTCGATGCTGCAAGAGGTCTTGTGGGTGCTTTCGCCGGTGGGGGCGGGGGTCTTACAGGTGCTTTTGGGGATATAGAAGGAGGTCTTGCAGGTGCTTTTGGGGGTATAGGAGGAGGTCTAGCGGGCGCTTTTGATGGTATAGGAGGAGGTCTTGCAGGTGCTTTTAAAGGTGGAGGCGGGG